GCCCAGCCAGCCTGTGCACTGTGCCCCACCAGGAGCCCCTGCAGCCTACAGCTTCCTCACGGCCTGACTCGGCTGCCTACCCCTCGCCTGCTTCGCTGCTTCTCTGCCTGGGATTGAACCCACAGCCTCTAGAGCTCAGCCCCTCTGTCTGTGGGGCTAAGGAACCCTCTGCCCCAACTGCTACACATGAACCGGCCACTGGAGGGAGACAGGTAGCCACTCCAGGGGTCAGTCCCCATTGTGGAGGAGGCAGGACACCGAGGTGTGATGGAGCAGATGAGCTGACCAGGCGTGGCAGCCCCCACCATGTGATTTCAGCTTCCGCATCCCCCTGCTTAGCCTCCCCCTCACCCCTCCTTGGCTCCCAAACCTCAGCCCCTCCCAACTGCTAAAGGAGAATCCCTGCCAGCTGCCAGCAGTGCAGGGGCTATGGTACACACCGCTGAGCAGGTGAGATCCTGGCCTGCTCCCCAGACTCGGCCGCCCCGTGCACCCCTCCAGCCCTCCCCGGGCCCTCGGCTGGCTGCATCGGAAATTAAAATATAAATAATTCAGTCCCCGTCGCCTTTATGAATAAGAATATGAACCTGACAGAAAGCGCCTGGGAGTAATTTATGCAAGGAGAGAAGTGACTCTGCTTTCGGATCCATTTGTGAGCAGGAGGGAGCTGGGTGCGGGGGGGGGACGCCGAACGGGGGGACCGGGACGGGGAGTCAGGAGGGACTCGTTAGTTTCCATCCGGGCAGGGCTGTAATTGCTCCTGATCGACGCACACGCCACGTCTTTGGCAAGCGTCGAAGCCCTGGGCATTGGTGCCAGGAGCGCGGTGAGGACGCGTCGTCCCCCTCCGCTACCATGAGGGCAAGAAGTGAGAAAAGAACCCTGGGCCCAGATCCGCAGCAGGTGCAAGGGGTTTAATGGAGCTGGTTTACACCAGTGGAGGATCTGGGCCCCTGTCTCCAGCCGCAGCTCGTGGGAAGGTGGAGGGGCGTTTCGAAAGCCCGCAGGCGGCGTTCAGCTGGACACCGCGGGATAGTGAGATCCCAAGAGATCCCAGAGCTCAGGACCGCGTTGTTTACATCACAGCGCCAATATTAACACAGACAGGAGCGCGCACCCCTGGCCCAGCGGTGTGCTCGAGAGCTCCCCCTCTGCTAGTGCAAATCACTGCACTCCCAAAGCAAGCTGGTGCCAACAGCGCCCGGGGCCAGTCACTCCACGCCTGGCATACACTTGCCTGCCCGGGGCCAGTCCGCACTCAGCGCCCCCCCGCCCTGCGGCGGTCCACTCTGGGCACCCCTTGCCCTGGGCCAGAGCTGGACCAGTCCATGCTGAGCACCACCCCGGGCCAGTCTGCACTGGGCACAAGCGGCCCCATTTCTGTTCCTGTAACTTTTATTTTGGAAACTGGAACGGGTCATGGTTACGAGCCCCAAACCCTTTGCCATCGACGGAGCCGGGGTGCCAGGGCCGGGGCCAGGGATGGGGAAGGGGGCAGGGGGGGTCACTTTCATTTCTTTTAGGGAAAAGGGCAGGCAGAAACAACCAATCTGATTTGTTTAAAAAGCTGCTGCCCGTTTCCTAAGGCCATCTCTGTGCTGTGTCTACTGGCAACGCCGCGTTCCGGCTGCGAAGTCCCTGCCCCCGCACGCCGGCCTTGGTGGCATAAATCCAGCGATAGACAGGCTGCCATCCTGCCGCTGGCAAGGCCATAGCAGACAGGGGAGTAGCAGAGGGATGTTCCCCTAGGGGGGCTGTCTGATGTGCTGGAACCGAACAGTGGGTAAAAGGCTGGGTGGAAGGTTGTCGGTTTCAATCTCCCCCAGAAAGTATCCCGTGTCAGACTGAAAAAGAGGGGAGCAGCACAGCATTGGTACCCTGCCGAGCTGGGGGGGGGGGGGTCTGTTTTCCCATCCCACGAGAACTTGCATGATTTTGAATTTTTTTTCCATCCCAAATTCAGATGAAAAATCCCAATCTCAAAACCAATTTTTTTCAGTTTGGGGCAATTGAAACCTTTTGTTTTCATCTTTCTGAACTGTTTTCTTTTGCGTTTGATATTTTCCAGGGGGGAGGGATAGCTCAGTGGTTTGAGCATTGGCCTGCTAAACCCAGGGTTGTGAGTTCAATCCTTGAGGGGACCACCTAGGGATCTGAGGCAAACTTCTGTCTGGGGATTGGCCCTGCTTTGAGCAGGGGGTTGGACTAGATGACCTCCTGAGGTCCCTTCCAACCCTGATATTCTATGATTCTTTGGAACCTTTTTGCTTTTTAAAGCCTACATTAAGGTACAGTTGGCAACAAAGAGGCGTTTCGAACAAAAAAACAAAATATGAAACTTATCCTTTTGAACATGTCAGAACGTCCCATTTCCACACTTTCTAACCTTTCTTTTCTTTTTCTTTAAGAAAAAAAATTCAAGCCGGGAAATTTGCCACATCTGACCCTCTCCCCACAAACAATTTCAGTTCTGACAAATTGGCATTTTTCAGCAAAAAAATGTTCATACAAAAATTCTACACTAACTCTAGTTCGGATCCCACCGCATACACTCATTTATAGCTTGGCCATCAACAAGTCAATGAGGCCATCATTTTCCAAAATGGCCTCTAATCTTGGTTGCATGTGTTAAGAGGTTTTAGGGGCAGGTTGCCCACAGGGCTCCGGATGTGGGGTCTGAGTATCCCAGCACACCAGGGATCTGGGGGATGTTCGGCGCCGTTGACAATCCGGCCCTTGTTTAGGTGCCCGAATAGGAGTGGCAGATGAACTCTGTTCATACCAGACCCTGGCTGTCTCAAATCCAGCACCCAAAGCAGGGGCCACATTTGAGAATTAGTGGCCTGAGCATCTCTGTGCCTCAGTTTACCCACCTGTAAAATGGGGGTGAAGATACCTTTATAAAGTGCTTTGAGATCTCAGTCCTTCAGTGCAGTGTGGTGTCTGCCAGTCATAGAATCATAGAAGATTAGGGTTGGAAGAGAACTCAGGAGGTTGTCTAGTGCAACCCCCTGCTCAAAGCAGGACCAACCCCAACTAAATCATCCCAGCCAGGGCTTTGTCAAGCCGGGCCTTAAAAACCTCTAAGGATGCATATTCCCCCACCTCCCTAGGTAACCCATTCCAGTGCTTCACCACCCTCCTAGTGAAATCGTGTTTCCTAATATCCAACCTAGACCCTGCCCCCCCCCAGCAACTTGAGACCATTGCTCCTTGTTCTGTCATCTGCCACCACTGAGAACAGCCGAGCTCCATCCTCTTTGGAACCCCCCTTCAGGTAGTTGAAGGCTGCTATCAAATCCCCCCTCACTCTTCTCTTCTGCAGCCTAAATAACCCCAGTTCTCTCAGCCTCTCCTCGTAAGTCATGTGCCCCATTTTCGTTGCCCTCCGCTGGACTCTCTCCAATTTGTCCAATTTGTCCTTCTGTAGTGGGGGGCCCAAAACTGGACGCAATACTCCAGATGTGTCCTCACCAGTTCCAAATAGAGGGGAACAATCACTTCCCTCGATCTGCTGGCAATGCTCCTACTAATGCAGCCCAATATGCCGTTGGCCTTCTTGGCAACAAGGGCACACTGCTGACTCATATCCAGCTTCTCATCCACTGTAATCCCCAGGTCCTTTTCTGCAGAACTGCTGCTTAGCCAGTCGGTCCCCAGCCTGTAGCGGTGCCTGGGATTCTTCCGTCCTAAGTGCAAGACTCTGCACTTATCCTGGTTGAACCTCATCAGATTTCTTTTGGCCCAATCCTCTAATCTGTCTAGGTCACTCTGGACCCTATCCCTACCCTCCAGCGTATCTACCTTTCCCCCCAGCTTAGTGTCAGCAGTCAGTGTCCTGTGGCTCGACAGCACCACCCAGAAGGTCTGTTGGACCGCACGGAGCAGCGGGCTGGTTTGTTCTGGGCACAGTTAGGAGAAAGGGGAAGGTGCCGCTTCCACGGAGCGCTGCATGAAGGCTGCACGGGGAAGGGTGACTTTCCCGGCTGGCTGCTGCAGAAGGGCGCAGGGCAGGGGAGGGCTGGGTGTCTCCAGCCTTCAAGTCCATGGGCGCTACCTTACTCTGCCTGTGAGTTACTACTCCTGGCTGGTGCGGCGCCCCCACATGGCTGACTCAGGGCAGGGCAGACAACACAGGGCAAAAGCCCCAGTGTCCAGCCAATCACTCCTTCCTCAGTTAGGCAGAATCTGTGGTTCCCCCCAAGCACGGAACAGCGGCTTCTGGACTCCAGCTCTTCCCTGGGCCTAACCGAGGCCCCAATCTTACCTCATCCCTGGCCAAGGCAGGGGTGTGTGCAAGTGACAGGCCATGTTCCCCAGGGGGGGGAGAGGGCTCCCACCGCATCACTGTGATGGGATAAGGAGGGGCTCGGCCCAGGCGATTGGTGGGAGAGATCTGGGCTGAGATAGCCAGAAGCATTGAGTTGGCCACAGGGGGCAAAACCAAACTTCCCAGCTGCCCCAGAAGCCCTGCCTCCAAGCCTCCCGCCCCCAAACTCCAATCGGAACTGGGACCCCAAGATCACAGCCCCGCACCCCGTGAATAACTCGGAACTGCCACGCCCCCTCTGCTTCCGCCTCGAACCACCAACCCCGCCCCATTCCTGTGCCGTGCTCTGCATCGTCCCAAGATCCCGGCTCGCTGGGTCCAAGACCCCGTGCCAGGCGGGGCATCAAACTGCAATGGAAATGCCCCCCCTGAAGAGAGCCACCATAGGAAGCCGTTAGCACCAAACACACAACCCCCCGAGGTGCACAGATCCTGAAAGGAGCTGGGCTCCGTACTCGGCAGGTGCCTTCAGCTGGCACCTTATCTCCTAACTATTGACCTATATACATGCCTAGAGCACTCCTGGGACACCACAGAGAGCACCAGCCCCCGCCCCTTTGCAGCCTGAATACTGCGGGGGGAAAGAGACCCCCTGCTGGTCAGGAGGAGGTATTGCAGAGCACAAGGCGAGAGGGCCACACACACACCCTACTTCCGGCCGCGGCCTTACCTTAGTTTCCAGGGTCCGTGGGGCAGCTGTGCACGGCCGGGGCTGGCCAGGCACTTGGGCGACTCTGAGGGTCCGGCAAGGCTGGGAGGAGACACAATTCAAAGGGGAGGGAGGTGAGATACAAGGTCAGACAGGCAGCACAGTGGGGGTATCGAGGACCTGTGTTCAATCAGCTGCATGGGGAGGGCACCGACCCAGGAGCATGGCACTGCCAGGGGCTCAGTGCCCAAGCCCTGCCGCCTGCCCCACAGCCCAGGTAGCTCATTGGTCCCCAAGGTTATTAACCACTAACGAACCGAAGAATTCTAGCGAGAGACAGACAGGCCTGGCTAGGCCGAGTGAGGGGGGAGCAGCGTCTGCCCGACAGCATCTGGGCATCACAGGGCAGCGCTACTCTGCTTTGGCACTGGGCGAGACGCCCGCTGGGCCCAGGTCCCCCGGATCAGGTGCCACCGATCAGAGAGGGCGAGGCTGGGAGCTGGTGGTTGACACGTGTGCCCCAGGCATGCACATGCATGTACACATGCACCCCCCACACGCACACGCAAAAGCAATCGCCAAATACACAGACCGAGGAAGCAAAGGAGAGGTTAGCCACCCCCTCGTCTGCAGTCGGGGGACAGCCTGATCCAGAGGGGAGCTCTCAACTCCCCCGAAGCCCCAGAGCTAAACCTGGGAACTTGGCATGGGCTGATGGGTCAGAGCACGGGGCTGGGCATGGCGAGGGGCACGCACAGGGGCTGTGCTCAGGTGCACATCATTCATGGGCGCCCCTGGGAGCCGCCCACTCCCTGCCTCACAGGCTGGGCACACCCACCCTCATCTGCCACCCTTTCACCTGGTGCCGGCTGGGACCTCTCAGCACTGTCCCCCGGCATATGCCCCTGTTCCCTGTGGGGACACGGCCCCGGGATGGAGCTCCCACCAGACACTCCCTGGGGGGGTTATTTTAAGCCAGATGGTGACTCTGAGGGAAGCAAAGTCAGCGGTGCGACAGAAATAGCCCTGCTAGGGAGCCCGGCATCAAGGGATATAGATCCCTGTGGCGGGCGGGGCAGGGGGTCTCCAGACAGACAGCCTCGGCGGGGAGGGGCAGGGACCAGACCCTTGTGCTTCGAGCCCTGCAGTCCGGCTGCAGATGTGCCGCTGAACAAGGTTATAAATATCTCCCCCGTCAGACCCAACCACCTGCTTTCCCTCCAGCAGGTGGCGATAGCCAGAGGGGCTTCCCCAAGTGGCACAGGTGCTGCGGGCGCTGACAAGGAGCTGGGGGGGGCGGCAGATTGCCCCATCATGCCCCCGCCTACCCCGAATGGATGGAGGGCTAAGGGCAAGTCTGGGTGGGGAGATGCATAGGGAAAGAACAGGGGAGGGGCGGACGGAGGGACAGACAGGCAGGCAGGGTGGAGAGGGACAGGCACACAGCACGCACGGGGATATTGGGGGCAGTCGCAGCCGCGGGACGGGCGCCTGGCTGCAGATCGAGCCCTTTGGGACCCTCCCTGCGTCCGGGTGCCATTGAATTCTCAGCTGCCGCCCGCCCGCGCCCAGAACAGGAGCCCCAACGACCAGCGCCGCAAGTCGGATGCGGAGCCACGAGCTGCTTCCCCAGCCGAGATTCGATCCGGGGCTCCCCGTGGGCCGCGGTGTGCTACTCCGGCCTTCTAGGCAGGCAAGAGCGTGACCCAAAACCTGAGCCACCCGCGCGCCCTGGGCCTGCCCCCAGCTGCTCAGACCAAGGCCGCGGGGTGTTACCAGGCCAGCTTCAGAGAGGCCTTGAGCAGCAGAGCGATTCATGTCATCCCGTCCCGAGACGCTGGCCACATGGCCCTAAGGAGGCGCATTATCTGGGCCCGGGATCAGCGGACCAGCATGGGACAGCATCTCATGCGCGAGGCAATTTCGGGATGAATGGGGAGATTCAGTGCAGAGTCAGAGAGGCCTTTTGTTTCCCTGATTGAAGGCTGCCCGGGTGTCACAGGAGCGGTCCCGCTTCATTTGCACGGCACAGAGAAACTCCACGAAGCCAGGCCAGCGTCTTCCCGCGGGCCGCGACGCTGGGTGCCTGAGGCAGACACGCCAAGGCTTCCTGGTTGAAAGCCAACAGCTGGATCTGGATTATGCCCGCTCTGGGGAGGTTAGGAACAGCTTCCCGGCGGGTCAGAGAGCACGCTGGCTCAGCAGCTGTGTGCATGTGGCCCGTGTGCCCGCAGGCAGCACCAGCCGGGGGGTAGTGCCAGCTGTGAGGCAGGCAGGGGCAATGCAAGCTTCCCCCGGGCAGCCCTGCTGCAACGCTTTGGTCCTACCCTGCAGCACATGCCGCAGTTCCTGTCTCAGGACCCCGATCAAACTGTCAGTGTCCCTCCGTCCCAACCCCCCCTCCAGCCCCCCATGCTATCCCAGCCCTGCCAGATCCCGTTTCTCCCAGCCTGCACCAAAGGGCTGGCTCTTGGGCAGTGCCCGCGGGGCACAGGTCTGGGCGGGGACTCACGGGGTGCTCAGCTGCTCCCCGGCAGCGCTAAGGACGTTCTCCAGCCACGGAGGAGGCGCAGTTGAAGCTTTGCGACCACAGCCTCTTTTCCAGTCCATTTCCCTCGCTCCGTTGCTCTGACATCTCAGTCCGGCCGCGCGGCCATGCCTGCCCTCGGGGACCGGGGACCCCCCCCCCCCCCCGCTGCAAACACAAGATTGCCGGGCGCACTGGGCTGCGTTGGAGGGAAACGAAAGCAGATCGGATCCATGAAGAAAACGCGGCATTTTAACTGGGCTCAGTGGAGAGGAAATGAAATGCGGGGGGGGGGGTCCCTAATAGAGCGGGAGGAGGGTATAATGGGGGTGTAATCGCTTTCCACTCCGGCTCCCTCGGAAAGGTCTGATCGGCCTTGATTGCTAACACGTGTGGGAAATGCTGAGGAGGGAGCCGGCCTCCATGCAGAGCAGGGAACTGGTGGCCGATGGCCCGATGCCCGCGCCGGGCCCTGCCAGCTCCTGGGGAAGCAGCGGCTGCAAGAGGATCCAGGGCAGTGATTGTTGTTACATGTGGTACGGGAGCATCACATCAGAGCAGGGTCCCCGTTGTGCCAGGCGCTGTGCAGACCCCGACCGAGAGCAGGGCCCCGTTGTGCCGGGCGCTGCGCAGACCCCGGGCGAGAGCAGGGCCCCGTTGTGCCAGGCCAAGTGAGATCAGGCCCCCATTACGCTGGGCACTGAGCCGATCTGAACTAAGGGAGAATCCGTGCCACAAAGAGCTTGGAGACCTGCCCCCTACCCGTTGTCTGCTCTACTCACACTGAGCTCTCTGGGGCCAGGACTCTCTCACTCTGCGTCTGTGCAGCCCCCAGCACAACGAGGCCCTGATCTCGGCTGGTGCTACCACAATATCCCAAACAACAGTCAGACGGTGCAATGGGACGGCGCTGCAGTGAAACGTGGCGAGGGGGACGGGGGACTCCAGAGGTACAGAGCACGGTGGGGAAACTGACAAAGCCCGAGCTAGGGGACCATACGGGCTTTAGCTTGGAACCACCGGGCAGAATCACCCAGGGGCTGGAGAAACCGAGGCCTCACTCGTGAGCTACGTTCTGCACAGGAGCATCAAGAGTTGAAGCTGCCTGGGGGAGCGAAGGATGTCCAGGGCTCAGCGACCCAGCTAAGCTGCCTCCCCCCTTCATGTTCTTCCCAGCTCCCTCGGCTGATCTCGGCAGAGGGTAATTGTCCCCCACAGAGCTTGCTGTGTGGAGCGTGACACCATGTGTGAGCACCAAGACCAGCCCCTGGGACATCCCTGGGAGCTGGCCAGCCCACGGCCAGGGAGCGTGGGGCCGATCTCCATCCAGCCTGGGGAGCAGCTGCTGCAGTGAGATCCAGGCACTGGCAGTTGAGATGTGTATTACGGTATTGCTGGCCAAGAGCAGGGCCCTGCTGTGCCGGGCTCGGCACAGACCCCGACCGAGAGCAGGGCCCCGTTGTGCCAGGCGCTGCA